ATTATACAAGACAGCCTACTAGTCTTTGAATTTGAGCCGTCGATGACTTATGTATGTTTTGAAGAATCTTCAGAGTACTTATTGAAAACAGATGTTGTTTGAAAGATTATCTATAACCAAAGGCTCATTTGGAACTGATGTAGACCGTATCTCTTTTGACATCTGTAAGCTTGGTTGATTCTTTCTACAGTATCCCTATTGCATGAGGGAATAAGCTCAAAACTCCGAAGTTGTGATATTTATAGATATAGATGTTCATGTTTTCCAGTTTCAAGGTCTTTGAGATCATTAGTGAGACAATTATTTTAAACCTTTTTCATCGGAATCTCTATCGATTCCGTCTGCTTGCGCAATAGTTACCATGGAGATATTCCATGAACATGAGACACATGGATAACGAGACTATCACCTCTCAGACATTTTAGAAATTCACTTGTTACTCACTTAAATTCATCTGATTCATTGTGAACATTGGGTAAGTTTCCACCTGATAATTCGAATATTCCGAATGAAATCACAAATTACAGCTGAGCTGTTAACTCTTGGTGACAATCAGTCAGAGATGAATAATTTTCTGGATGAGAATGATGATGAGGTTAAATGCTTTGAGAGTTCAAAAAAGAAAAATAAAAAAGAATCTTTATTTGAATTTCGAGAATCAGAAGAATTCACACTAGAAAAACCCTCAATTTCCAGTTTACCACACATCCGTTGTACAAAAGTGATAAGCCGAACATTAAAAAGCTGAAAGTTAAGAATTTGCGAGGTTAATTTGCATTCTTTGTCCTTCAATTTTTGTATTAATCATGTGGTTTAAGAGAATGAGAAGCTGGAAACCTCCTTCGATCTCACATGGAAATTTCTAGAAAATAACCTAACAGCCATTATTCATCAGAAAGAAACTACCATTTCCTATGAATATCTCTATAAAGTAAGTGCATAAACAAGCTTTGTTGTATTTCACAAACTTCATTCAGACAGCTTCTAATCTTTGCAAAGTAGACAACGAGGCTGTTCAGAAAAAGCTTTACGAGTTCATTGAAAAGAACGTTACTTTGTTGCGGTATGTTCCATCTTCAGATTCATTCATTAAAATTCTTCCTCAGAAATCAATTATTGGATCAGTCACAGACTAATGTATATGGCTTTATTGAGAACATGGTAGCAATCTGGCAGAATTATCAATTACAGATGGTTGGTAATTACGAAAAAGCTTCTGTTTATCACTTTCCAGAAGATGATTCGCAGTATATTCCTTCGCCTGGAAAGAGAAAGTGCTCCTGATGAGATATCACCTGTCTGGTAGAAATAACTATCACTAAGCTTCAGAAGAATATTTTTTCAGTGATACATTTCTGGAAATCTTCCGGAATTGCTGTCTTCAATGCACTTTCTTAAAAACGAAAACGATTTCGGATTTTCTGTCATTGATCACTCGAGAACGAGAAGGAGCAGCTGTTGATCGTTCTTTGATCAAATCCATATTTCAAATGTTTGATTGTTTACAGATTTACCATACGGTAAAATACAAACTTTTTATTTTCTATTTGTGAGAATTCAGGAGTTGGAACGACCACTGTTGGAAGAAACCGAATTATTCTACCGCAAAGAATGCGAATACTCATCTGAAGCCTACGAAGCAATAGTCCATTGTAATGAAAAATCACAAACTATTTTCATAGGCTGATCAATACATTTACCATGTTGACAACTGTATTCGTGCTGAGACGGAGCGCTTGAACTACTATATTAACGATGAAAACAAAGTGGCAATTATACAAGTAACCGAACGCTGTTTAATCTTACAACCTATGTTTCTTATAATAGATAAAGGTCAAGTTAAATAGACTAAATTAGAAAATATAGGAATCGTTTCAGGTTTAAAGACTATGATAGACAGGAATAGCCACACTCACCTGAAACTACTATTCGAACTTTTAAATCGCGTAGAAGACGGTCAGGAGGCTCTTACTAATGGTTTTATGACTTATGTAAAGGTTCATTTCTTCATAACATCTTCTTCCGATCCACAGAGAGCTTCTTCCAGAATTTTGGAAAAGATCTTGTTATTAACGCAGAAGTTGAAAACGTACTGATCGAAGAGCTTCTTCTGTTCCGAGACAGAATGATGTTAATAGGTTTTCTGCTACATTCTTAGGCTTGAGCTCATATCTTTTGCAGTGTCGAAATGCTTCGGAAACGCCGAAAAACTTATCGATGCTCTGAAAAAAGCGTTCAATTATTCTATAAACACTCGATCGAACAAAGTATCTGATTTCTTGTCATGTTTCATTGATTCGAAAATGAAAAACGCAAAAGATGTGGATGATGACGAGCTAGACCACCTGATGAATCGAGTTATAACTCTGTTCAGATTTATAGAGGGTTTTGCCGAAATGTCACTATAATACCGTTATATTATGAATTTCAGGGAAAGATGTTTTCGGAGCTTACTATAGAAAGCATTTAGCTCGAAGGTTGCTCATGGGAACAAACATTTCAGTGGAAGCAGAGAAGTCTGTCGTGAACAAACTGAAACTAGGTGAGAGTTGTTAAACACTGACAAACATGACTAATATCAGAATGCGGAGAGGAGTTTACCTACAAATACGAAGGAATGTTCAGAGATATGGAAATTTCTGAGCAGCTTTCTTCTGCTTTCCGCGAAGTATCTTCTACATTAGGTTATTTAACCCATGATATGTTTCAGCATAGATTGCGTGGAGCATCATCTCACACGGCTTCTTCGCATATGGAGTTCTATGTTAACGTGATCACAACTGGAAGATGGCCTACCTACAAAACTGTTCCCGTAAACTACCTTCAATTATACTCATTTATGAATAATCATCACAGATGGGTTTGCCAGCTCAGATTACTTCAACAAGGCGAATGTTCGAAGAGTTTTACCTATCGAAGCACAAAGGACGTTCTATACAGTGGGGTCATTCTTTAGAACATGGAGTATTGACAGGAAACTTCCGAGAAAACGTAAGATTGTTCCAATGTCTGTTAGATCTCAAGAGACTGTCACTTATCACATAAACTGTATGATGTTAAGTGCACCAAGGAAATTGAAGTTTCGCTCAGTCAAGCGACTGTTCTTCTCATGTTCAATGAATGCGATGAGTATACAACAGTAGGATTGCACAACGCAACAAAAATTGGTAAGTTTTCGAAGACTTTTCATTGAAAACTAACATCTTCTATTCAAGACCTTGATGAAATGAAAAAAACATTGAAATCACTTGCATGTGGTAAAACGAGAATTCTTCTGAAAACACCAATGTCCAAGAATGTAGGAGATGAATAGAAATTGCAACTAAAATTTGAATCGCATTACAGATTGAAGATGACGACACCTTTGTGGTCAACAGTGATCTCAATGAACAACTTTATCGGATTAAGATGAACAACATTCATGTTAAGAAAGTTGTAAGTTGATGAATGTTTTATATTTCCTTATTGAGTGTCTCAGAGAGAAAAAAACAAAAATACTGAGCAGCAAGTACACCTGACTCGTCAGTTCCAATTGGATGCTGCCATCGTTAGAATTATGAAGTCCAGGAAGGAAATGACTCACGCACATCTACTTGAAGAGTTGAAGAGTCAACTGAGGTCAGCCAATTAATATTTCCAACTAAGATTAGCAGAAACTTTACAGATTTCCGTTCAAAACTTCAGAAGCTAAGAAACGCATTGAATACTTGATCGAAAGAGATTTTCTTGCCCGAGACACTGAAGACTCAAACCTTTATAAATATCTTTGAACTTCCACTTATTCAGACTTTTCAACTTCATACATCAATTCTAATGTGAAATGTATCGTTCTTGGTTCAAAAGCTGTGTAATATCTATAACAATATTTGATAAATTATAGCCTATAAAACAGATTTCAAATGTATCTGAACTCATTTGGCATAACGCTCTTCTAAACAATCAACAGAAAAATAAACTAGAACGAAGTACGGTGCAGTAGGAAAAGCTAACAAATTAGGATGCAACTGCTTTGCTCAGAAATGAGCATATACTAAAATTGGAATAATAAAGAGAAGATTAGCATGGCCCCTGCGCAAGGATGACACGCAAATTCGTGAAGCGTTCCAAATTTTCGAAATTGTCTTTCTGTGAGTTTGCTGAACTTCATGGAACTCAAAATTGCCGTCAATTAGATACTGGTTAAGCGAGAAGAACATTGTCATAAATTCTTTGAGTGAATGTCTCATAATCTAAAGGTGATTGCTGTCTCATGTGCTTGTTTCTGAGAACTACGCCTTTTCATATTGATATTAGTGAATGCCATAATCGAATTTTCGCCGAAAAAGGCAGCAAACTTTTCAGTTTGTCAGCAATTTCTTGTTTGCAATAACTTTTGTTTGTTTTTCTTCCTTCATATAGATATATTACAGATGATTACGTCTGTCAGAATGGTTTTACAATCATTGTTCTCTGGATATGAACCACTCGAAGAAGCAGAAGCATCTTTGGAACAAACATTCGTACTGAAAAACGTTTTCGGGAAACATACTATGAGTCTGAAAGGTTTGATCGTTCTGAATAAATATATATGATTAGTTGTTCAGATAAAAACCTGAGAAGAAATCGGAATGACTCTAAGGTCAGCAAGGCTTATGCACTTTTCAAGAGACAGTTCAAAATGAATTTATTTTTATCAAAAAACAAAGTGTACCCTACAAATGAATAAAGAATATTCTTCATAATTTTCTATCTGCAGTACATCATTTGCATGCAGTTTACAAGAATCAGATAGATAGCATCGAACAATTCTATTCTGCAAGACAACTACTGTAGCTGCTTCCATGATCTTTATTAAACTACTCAACAAATAGGAAAACAGACTGAATCACTAAACACGACGAAAACGGAGAAGCTACTCGCAAAGAGCTCGCTTTTATTATTGGCATTTGCTTGTTCGAATAGTCATACACTCAGTAAAAGAAATTGACTAAAGCTTGTGAAAGGCCGTTGATGTTCTCATCATTGGCAAGAAACTCTTCTCTGAAATGATTATTCGTATCATGAGTCGTATATTTCATAGCTTACAATGTTTCCTCGAACTCATATTCTGTTTTAGCAGCCGGGCCGTAAAATCGTTCCATGTGTTCAGCGAGAGTAAAGTTACGCAAACAGTAGTTGAGTTGCATTTCTTGTTGCTTCTCAATGAGAGCAAACGGCTCTCTCTGTTCTTCAAACTGAAATTACAGCTCAACAACATCATTTAGAGACACATGTACCGGTTTCACTTCATTTCTGTCTATATCTTCATCGAGTAGTCTGTACAACTCGTTTTCTACTCTCCAATCTCTATTCTGAAATTAGATGTTTAATTGTCGTGAAAGCATCACTCACATCAGTTAGAAGTTCATGTGAATAACAGTTGTATGGCAGCTCATCAGGAAACTTTTCGTATTTCGCGACCACATTTGATGAGTATTTCACTTGAAACTTGAATTTGAAATCACAGGGTGGTGAAATCAGTTGGTGAACTTCATTGCAGTCCTGGCATAGAAATGAAACAAAAAAGGTTCGAGGAATCGTCATATGAAGTTCTGGAAGAATGTAAACAACTAACTAACATTCATATACCTAAATCCTCTTCAAAGCTATCAACTTTGAAAGTACCCATATACAAATCAATCATTCGAATATAACAATCGCTAATGTCCACACTATCATCATAATCACAATATTTCGGAAGATCAGTTAAAACTTTTCTCAAACTGAAGTAGTTAGACCTTTGAACTGAAAATAATGTTTCAAACAACAACATGTTGTTGATAACTTCATACATTCATTTCCTGTTTGAACAATACTGGATATTGGTTCCAAAAAATAATAATCTAACAGCTCTTCATCATCTATGTTCAGTGCAGTTTCTTTGGTCAATTTCGAGAACATTGGAAATTTCAAAAAATCCATTCTAAAACGATCGAGGACATTCAACTGAAATACAAATGAAAAACATACTTTTACAGCAGAAAACTCGATAATGAAGTATAATATACATGGGAAAGGTGATGATCTTCAATGAAATAATTGTTGCTATGAGATAACTCATCGTTAGCACTGAAACATCT